CTACTGTACTATACTGTGCTATGCTGTGCTACCCTATACTGTACTATACTGGCTGTACTATCCTATACTAGCCTATGTGATACTATACTATACGATGCGATACAAACCTATACCGTGTTTCACTATGATATACGATAAGATATTGCAGTGCTATACGATGCGAAACTATACCATACTGAACCATACATAACGTAATGCGTGGAACCATACTAAACTACACTGCACTACATGCTATGTATTGTATACCGTGTACTATATACTGTAGACGGTATCTTTACAGGATGTATCAAACAGTATATATCATGAACTACAAGCTGTATGCTACACCCTATATGCTCGTCTTACATTATGTCTACATCTGTCTGCTCCACACTTTACACTTTGCATTGTTCTACAGAGGACCCGTTGCAACATCGTATGTGTTGACTGAAATTAACTGTACACTGTACATATGCTGCGGATGATATACGGTATATATACATTGTAATGTATACTATACACTGTCTGCATACGGTATGCTATACATATACATAAATACATGCACGAAAACGGTGTCCTGTATCTTGTATCTAATAACCTGTATCCCACATCTTATACCCCATGTCCTGTATCCTAAGACCTGTATCCTGTATCCCATACCCTGAATAGTGACTGTGTTTACTATACACTCTGTGCTTCATGCAATTCTACAGGCTATACCATACTCTACTCTGCATACGGAACTCGCCGGTGCAGCACTCTATTGCACTGTGTGAATTAGACTAGATTGTTCTGCACTTCACTAGACATATCTATACTATACATTCTGTACTATACTGTCCGGTACTGTACCGTACCATATTGTTCTGTACTGTAATGTACTGTACACTATGTGCGAAACGAAGTCTGGACAGAGAAAGAAACTGGCCTTTGCCCACGCGTTTGCGCTGCGCTGCCAACCTCCGTGCTTACAGGTATGAAAACATTCTCGATGGCAATAACTCGGGCTCCAAACTTAGTCCACTGGATGTTTCCTTAGCCTGGCATTGAAAGTACCTGTTAGCCCACAAACACTGCAACCACTGGCAGATTCCGCAGCCAAACCCTTCAGATACAGATCTAAGACTTAAGTTCCAAGCCGATGCACTGAAGCTAAGCACCAATACCCCGAAAATAATGCCAGATTTGCAAATACGGACTTCAATAAATCTACGGGGTTTGGGCTCGATCCCACTGAAGCTGCACTGAATGGATTTGCAAAGACTAGGTGGGTTGTTCTCCTTGCTTTAGGGCTTGGAGCTCAGGGCCTCAGAGCGAGTTTTGGGGTTTGAGGAGATAACCGAAGCTTGCAGATTTTGTGACCCAGGGCCCCTCCATGACAGTATCTCGTGACCTCGGGCCCTCCTATACTTATAAAAATGATATGTATATATTAAATAAATAAATAAATAAATAAAAATATATATATATATATATACAGATACACATGTGTATATATATATATATACTATTCGGCATCTATTCGGGAGTTTGGGGCAAACACTTGAGCCCTTCTCCCCCTCAAAGATCCGACTTTTCGAGATCCCTGCCGGGGAACTTTGCAAAAGTAGAAACAGTGATGTTTAGGGATTTCAGTAGAAACCAGAATGTTGGAACATAATTTTCCTCATACCCTTAAGGTACAGTATGAGGAATCCTAGCATTAAGCATCCCTAATCCATGTTCCAACTCTCTGGGGTTCACTGTCGGGTTTAGGAAATAGGGTTTCGGGTAGAGAGTTTAGGGTTTGTCATACAGGAGCCACAGCAATGATGATGAGGTTCTGGCGTACATGGAATTCCACGCAATTCTATTGGTATTCAGGACCTCTGTAAAAAAAAAGTAGTACTAGTGGTAGCAGATGCTTCTAAATTAAATCCCACTGCGAAGGGCCAAAGAGTCGACAAAGCCCCGGTTAAACCATAGACTCTTCTTGGAAGTTCATGGTGGTTATATGTGGGGTCTAGGCTTAGGGCTTCCTTAGAGTTTAGGGCTTGTGGGGTTTAGAAATCCCTTGATGTAGGTTAGAGCTGTAGTTGTCCTATGTATAAGCCCAACTACTTATAACTACCCAGTAACCTCCAAGTAGCCCCTTCCAAAAAAATGTCCGCTTTGCGGGGTCGTCGTACTATTAGGGTCTGCCCTTGGGCAAGCTCTTCTGTGGAGGTCCCATGTCCCATCTTCAAGCCTAAACTCCTGGACGCCAAATTACAAACCCTAAACCCTAAATCCTACACCCCCGAAGAATACATCTGACAAGCCCGGAAAAGGCGCATAACATCTGTGACAAAAGCATTGTAACATTCCTAACAAGCCTAAAACTAAAGCTTTAAAGTAAAGGAACCTTACAAACAACAACCAAAACCTGCATAAACAAAAAACCAACCTTAAACCCCAAAACCTCACACCCGGAACCCTAAACCCTAATAAAGTTTAGGGTTTGGATCCAGGCCTCTGCATCCCTGGAAACCGGCTCTAGAGCTGCAGCCAGTCCTGTGATGCCTGCAGGCGCTTCAGGGTTTGGAGGAGTTTCGGAAACCTATAGAACCTTTCTTTGCAGGGTGTCAAGCTTGCGGGATTCAGAGTTTAGGGCGCATGGGGATTCAGGGTTCAAGGTTGAGGGATTCAGGATTTAGGGCGCATGGGGATTCAGGGTGCAAGAATTGAGGGATTCAGGGCTATAGGGCTTATAGGGACTCAGGGTTCAACGTTGAGGGATTCAGAGTTTAGTGCGTGTTTGGGGATTCAGGGTTCAAGGTTGAGGGAGTCAGGGGACAAAACGCGTCTAGGGATTGAGGGTTGAAGGTTTTTGGGATTCAGTGGTTGGGGTCTAAGGATTCAAAGTTTAGGGTTTTGGGGTTCAAGGCGTTAGGGGTTATAGGGTTTTGGGTTTTCGCGTCAGGGTTCCGAAAAGGGTTTCGTGGGTTTCACAACGTTTGCTTGTTGCTTTGATGGGGAGTCTCATAGGGTTTGATAGCCATTTTTACGGTTTCACAGGCTCGTTGCTATGGGATCAGTGTTCTGATCTGTGTTCTTGTTGAGGGGGGTTCTGAAAACAAAAATTACTAAGAGTTGAGGTTCCGGTTTAGAGGGTAGCGTCTCAGCGTGGCGTTTGGATTCGAACTTGTCGTTTAGGGTATCGGACCAGACATGAGGGCCTTGATAATTGGAATTCGGCTTTGAGGTATACTCCATTACGACATTATATACAAGGACTATAAGGATGACGATTGCAAAGTGTTCTGGCACCTATATTATATTGTTAGGGTCAGCTGAAGAAGACGGCCCGCACCGAAACACTAAATGGCTCCTAGCTAAGAACTTTTGAAGCCTCCTACTGCGCTAGGACGAAAGTTCGTTGCACTCTGTATGTCGCTCTTGAACAG